GTGAACATCAATGACCGTGGCTTATTCGATGATCAGATTACCGCTCTGTCCTTTCTCTGTTCCCACTCCCGTTGTAGGGACGAAGTTGTAGGAAGTCCTTCTAACCCACCCCTATCCGGGACACCACAACCGAGGGACGCAACGTGTGTTGTTGAATTCAACGTAATACTGTGTCATATAGTTGATCGGATCTGTTCACACAGGGTGTCCAACTCGAATGAGGTCCCTAAGCAATTCTTTACCTTACTAATAAATTGAAATCAAGCTTAACAGATTGACATAATATCAAGAAATAGAATGAACTAGTAAGATGCTTTTCATAACTCGAACAAAAGGAAAGAAGAGAAGTCAATGGTGGATTCAAATGGAGGTCTTAAGGGACACTGTCATTTCGAATGATAAAAAGAGGTTCAATTGGCAGTTTTAGCGCCTTCAAACATCACTGTGCAATTCGAGCACATTTGCTGTACGTACTTGTGTGGCCTTATTCAAATGAAATACTCTTCATTACATCCAATTTGACATAATTTGATTGCTTTCCTTTGGGGACCAATTCGATTTTTTGTTTAACCTGTGCTTACGGTATCAACGTCTCAGATATAGTTGTGAAGCCTTAACCAAAATTATACAGACTAGTTGGTAGCGCTTGAGGTGAGTGATCAGGGCTGTTGTGGATACCGTAAACTGCCTCCTGACTAAGCCGAAGGGTAACATGCCGTTGGACTGCGACTGAATCACAAATGTAGTATTTGTCTTCTAGTCAATGGCCAAGGTGAAAAGTCAAACTTTTTCCGGAGGAATCTATACCATTTTGGCAAGACTTGTCAAAGTTTTGATGAGATCAAATGGTATTCGAACGTTACCTGAACAGATGGCACAATGTCGTTTCAGTATTCAATTGTTAGTGTTTAGTGGAAAGCCTCGGTTGGAGGCCGTCGAGGTTGTGCCGTGGAATCTACATTCGCTGAAGCTCACAGTCGCTTGGACTCCTAGGTTCCTTAGCAGCTCTTTCTTTGTTAGGAAGTATTCAAAACATAACCAGCATAACCAACCCTTCCATCCCTTCGAGGTCAACTCGTCAGGGAAGATGAAAGCTCTGGACTTATACGCGGGTTGGCCACCACAAGTTATTGTATAGGCCACATAAGCGACCAAAACGCCACCACGATTCTAAATGGAAGTCGAATGCAGGGATCATCTCAAAAAAAGGGTTGCCTACATTCTTCAACCTTGCTTTTCTTTCAATTTCGTAAAGCAATTCCTTAAAGCTCAAAATTTTTGTTTTACTAGCCACTTGTTTTTCTTTTCCAACTTTCTCCTCAACATGCTTCATACGATATAAGCTTAAAAACATTTTATTTATAAAAAAAACCTATACACGAATCATAAATCGTCAAACATCAGACCCGTTTCGGGTTAACCGCACCAATGCACTCATATAAATTTGTTGTCTCATGAAAAACCAGTTACAATGTAAGAGAAAAAAACGTTGCAATTATTCTGTACTAAGTAGAGCATTACAATAGGAATCAAATTGGTTCGAGTATTTCAATCAGATACTACTTTTCTCCAATGAGTGCCTGATTTCGATCGCTGTTGCTCTGTAATTGATCATTGGTCGGCACCGCCACAAAGCCATCCTTCGCTTTCTTTGGAGTGAATGCCGAGAAGAACTGTAATCAGGGAAATCATCACGAATTAGATAGCATTTCCGAAAAAATCCAGTTCCAAAGAAAATCAATGAAAGAATAATGTCCGTGGTTTTAATCGATCCCTTTCTTGCGGTGGCCCTCGCATTCGAATTCCATTCAGAATCACAGTGGCATTTGAATGGATATTTGGCTTATACAATTACTTGTGGTGGTCAGTCGATGTACTAGTTCGGGCTTTTATCCTCCTAGACAAGTCAGACCACCGACCCCTATGAGATGGAAGGCTTGGATGGCCTGGCTCAGTATCGAGCCGGAATTCAAACTAAGGGCCATGAGTATGCCGCTACCAGGACCCGAACTCCGCTTTCCTCAAGAAATGAGAAAGAATAAACAGATTCACAAGGTCCAATGTCAAGACGTGGGAAAACTAAAATAGTGAAAGAATGATGGGGTGAAAAAGGTTTTTTACGGCCTCAAATCTCAGGGAGAGGATTGTTTCGATGACCAAATCGAACGGAGCTATCCATCCCGAGTAAGGACTAAGTAGCAAGGAGTAAGTTGGTCAGATAGGATCGAGTACATCCCATAAGCATCTCTGACATTTTCGTCGGCTTGTCAATCCTATTTTACTGGTCCATAGCGAAGAGGGCTACCCAGCGATCCCTCTTCGGATATTCAGAAAAATGTTTCCCCTATTTTTCTTGTTGTCTTCCTCAAGTATTGAATAAATAGAATAACTAAAACAAATAATTAATTTTCTACGCACCGTTTTATTGCACGGTTTAGTGATCGGTGCTCCACTGTGATTTTCGCTGGACTGTGGACAGCACATACTGAACGTGTGCAGGAACTCCCTGGAATAGAAATTCACTCATTCACCTCAATCTCATGGTTACTGAAACGTTTTTTGAAAAGGATTTTTCTAGACTCACCTTCTGAATACATGAGACATCAGAGCACATAGAACGAAATTAACGGCGCTATTGATAAGCGAAAGCAAATCGAAAAAGTTCCCAAGAGGAACGGTAATGAACATCATGCGAGGATTGATACCTGAATTATTGCACTCTTCAAAATGAACAACTAACTGATTAATCGATGATTATTGATCGACTGATCTACTGAAAGTCAACTTTGGCCTTACAACTGAAATTTTTAAGATCCACGGAATCATCGAGGAACCCTAATTTTTCGGGCGATTCCCAGAAACGACATAAGAAATGGGTCTTTTTTTCAGTGAGAAAATGAACCTACTATTTGTGTTGCACCGTACCTAGTCTCGTTTCTCAGCAGAAATTTGAGCAATTGAGAAAAATCCTATCCAACACAGTTGTATCTTGTTTCTCGGAGTTTTTCCTGGGGAAACTAGGAAATTTGAGGAGCTGATGGGAAAGAGGACTCATTGCCACCATGCCTGGTGTCCAAGGGCCAGAAAAAATCCAAAGATGTGGAAAAAGGTAAGATGATATTCGAGGACACCGTACATACTTATTTGTGGGTAGCAAAGACAATTGTAACTTGACTCTAAGCACCTAACCGAAATAGGACGTCAAGTTTACAGCCTAGCTACCTTCAAGCTCAAATTTTGATTTTACCAAAATGAAACTCACCGACAGCAAGGCCAAGAATCCCCTGAGGCAGTTCAGTAATCAAAAACACAGCAACAATTCCCGTCAACATAGCGGTTGTTCGTTCAGCCTGAAAAGTTGGGCTTGACTCGATAACTCTTGAGCTTTGACCCGATAAGTGAGTCAGTTGGTATAGGTACTTACCTGAGAATTCCCAGTGGGAACGCCTCCACAAAGCCGCAGTCGTCTTTCACGTGCTTCAATAAGCATTCGTACAAGGAGTGTCATGAAGACCGTCAAAAGGACACATGGCACCAATTTTAGCACACAGGCTGAAAAATGTCATAAAATGAGCCATGAGCATTTAGAAGGATAAAGAATAAAGTGTTTGGGTATTCATCGATCCCGTTCGAGGTATGCGCCACGCAATGGACTTCTATTCAGAATCGCAGTGGCGTATTGAATGCGTATGTGGGCTATACAATGACTTGCGGTGGCTAGCCAATGTCCAAGTCACTGCTTTTACCTTTCCGGACGAGTCTGGTACCAGATAGCTTACCCCGGAGGGATGGTAGGCTTGGTTGGCCTCAGCGGATATCGATCAGGGATTCGAACCCGTGACCATGCGTGGGTGATACTGCGCCACTTGCCACTGTACCACCTTGGTACGAGCCGCGAGCAGGTATAAATGAAAAAGGAGTACAGGGAAAACTGACCGGCAACCCAGAAGTTGATCCGTTCCCATTGGCAATTCCACCATGTCGGCTGTACAAGATCGTATCTGTAGATAGTATCGGATTCGTCCCATGATGCATGATATTTAGTCTCGAGGCAACTTCCAGGTACTGGCATCTCTTTCACAAATTTTATCTGAAAAAAAAGATTCAACTGCTAAAATTTTTCATTTTTTTCTTGATGATTACTTTTTTTTTGTTATGATGATGCTACGATTTTTTGTTCACAGAAGATCCTCTTAAGAGGTCCTTTTAAGATGAGCTGAAACAAAGCTCAATCATTGATCCATTTTATCTTTTTTTCTTAATTTCAAGATGCCATAGAAATTTGAAGTTGTCAATTTTCTCACATAATTGCATTTTATTAATTTTAAAAACTGCTACTGTAACTAAATAAATTACAAATATAAAAGCCAATCAAAATGGATAGTAATAGAATCAGTCAAGCACTTTGAAGGAAGTACTTCCAGTTCAATCACCCATACCAACGCTTTCGCGGTTTTGAACAGATAACTTATGGCAGAAAGGCTTTTCTAGGAAACTATTCATCAGAACCTTAGGTTTTAATTATTCCAGCATACCCCGTGGCCTCATTAGAAACAAGTTGCTTAATTTGGATCCATTATCCTTAAGGCTGAGAAGGAACGACATTTTTACAGTATATAATATTCTTCATAAACGTGTTGATCTCGGTAGTGACGCCNGGGGAAAAACTTAACCTATCTTTCCGAAAACCACGTTCAGCAGTGGGGCGCAGGTTCTTCGGGCACAGAGTTTTTGAAAATGAGTAAGGCTGTGCAAATTTCTTCGAAATTTGCTAGCTTTAGGAAAGCGGTATTTCATTATCTCCATCGCGCCAAGACTAAGGCTAGTTTTCGTTATGTAGTTCACCATGTTCTATCCAGCGTTTGTTTTAATTTGTGTTTTGGTTTGCTGTTAATTGCTGTTTTATTTCTACATGCTGCACATGTGTTTCGCATGTAATAAATGGTAAATGGTAGTGAACTGCTGCGGCTCTTCCAAGGAGGATTTGTCATTCTTCATTGGTACAGCAGGGAGCTTATTTTCTTCTGACAATGAGATTTATTCAAAACAACCTCGCCTTAATTCATACGAAAAAAAAGTGCGCGAACTTTTGTAAATTGTTTATTTTGAAGGACAATTAGCTGCACATTGCGGATCGGAAAACATTACGAAACCTCCTCTGCTCGTTTATCGAAAAAAACAATGATTCCAGCAAAGAATTGCTGACATTTAGAGAGCTTCCTCTTGAATTTCGAAATGACCCAAGTTTGAATGTTGTGAACAACAACGGGTTAACTAGCCGGGGTAAAATTCTCCCTGTAAAGGAAAGCCCCAAATAAAGCCCGTTGGTACATGGCCATCTTAACCTTGAGTGCATCCACTTTCGTTTTTTTGTATCTCCATTATCGCCATACAAT